AACTTGCTATCATCTTGCATACACTAAATGAGAAGTCAAGCAAAAGTTAACATACACATTTTTTAAAAACATTTCACCTGCGAATATTAACCAGATCATATACATATAACACGCGTCTCAAACGAGCACGTCATCAACATCAAATTTAGAATTCGAATCTTATATTTATAAATGACTTATTCTATTTGAGGGGTAGGTTACATAAATGAAAACCATTTTATTCTTTTTTCAGAGAGACGCGTTCATAACGATAAATATATTGCAATAAAAGAAGTTTGTACAAAATACAGCAAGAAGCATGATCTTTCAACACCGAAATTCGATATCCAGGGTCTACTGGAGATAGCCAGCTAACCTTATCTCCAAGACAAAATCGAAAGCCAAACAAAGCATACATACCTACGAACGACTTACACCAAACATGGACCTTTCTTTCATCATGCATAGAATGACGAACATCGGCATATTCTCCGATAATCAAACCAGCAAAAGGCGTATGATCGCTACTACAATGCCGTTGCAATGAGCGATTTTGTTCAAGGCAAAAAGCTGAAGGCTCTCATTCAAAATGAGTCGTTGGATAATGCAAGTGCTGATTCATTTGCGAATTTATTTCAGCAAGCGATGGCGAAGAATCGTGAGTATGAGTATGATCAAATCAAAAAAAAAAACTACAAGGGTCCCAAAGGGCCTCCTGAAGTCATCAAAGGCGAAGCACATGAGGCTCCTAAAGCAAGTAAGCATACTTACGTTCCACAATCAACCGACGCAGACTTCGATATGGAATAGCCCACTGCACCTGAAGAATCACTCGACGATTTCTATAGCGGCATACATGACGTTGCCAAAAAGGCCATCGGTACTCGAGCATATGTTAAGGCAAAATTTTTTGGAACAGGTGGTGGATAACCACGTTCGAAGTTATCTTAACAGACGAAGAGAGTTGAGACAAGAGGATTCTAATCGACAATGTCAAGAAATGGCAGCAAAGTTTGCAGATGAAGTCATGAAAGAATCAGTAAAACTTCTGAAACGAAAACGAATCGCAACTCCCCCCAACAAATCTCCCACTGTGGACGTATGTCCATATCAGACCTGACAACACCGTACAGTGGGTAAGCGGTTCGTGGAAGCGGTCTACAAGAACCGCCGGTTGCGAAGAGTCACGTTCAATAGTCCACATAGGGAGAAAGAGCTAATGAAACACTACTGCATTTGTATTGAACAGCACAAGAGACTACAAAGTATACTTTAGTTGCGAGCAGCTCGCAGAAGCGTAGGCAAAGCAAGGAAGATGTCGCGGATTCGTCTAGCGACGGACGATGATGTGGACATGTCAGTTTCCCAGCCAATATACGAAATATTGCGCCGCCGAAGATGAAGGAGTGGGACCACACGGCACTCGTACAGTGGCGTCGGGCCCGGGGCTAGTACGAAGATCGTGTGCGGGGTCGTTGTCGGTGGACCAATGAGCCATTCGAGAATGTGGTAGCTGGTATCCGCACCACCATTGACCCCAACTTGCTGAATTTCTTGTCTCAATACGAATTTGGCAAAGACATCTCCGACGACGAGATCATGGAGAAGGTCAAAGAGCGATGTGAAGCGATGAATGAGGCGTACGTCAGTGACCCGTCCGCCCTATTCAACAAGCAATCGAAAATGGATATTTCCATTGATGATGCTCCCAGTCGTATATCCAAATACTATATGCTATTCGAGCAAATAGCTGAAGAGAATGGGTTTCAAGATAATCTGGGTCGTGGTCGGACAGGGGACCTAGACTATACAGATCGGATGAAGGAGCGGAACAAAATACTGGTGGAGAGCTTCCAACCACCAATGCTGAAGGAAGAGATCTAGGGAATGCTGAAGCAGCTTAAGTATAAGAACGTCGAGTTTAGTGATCAACTGCTCTACAAGTTGGTACTTGAGTGAGCCACGCTGCAACAGCTGTACTACAACAGATTCCATGGGTGGGATCGGTCTCCCAAAGCAAGTGCCAAGAAATCGGGTAGAGGATCTCCTAATAGGGATGGGTATCGCGCTACACCGGTACAACGCGAGCTAGTCGAACAACCCTTCGACGTCTGACCAAGTGGCGC